AAAACTGGCATTGATTTTTTGAAATGTTGTTGCTAACGGTCTTCCGCACTTTATTTAATAAGAAATTCTTGATTATAGCGAAAAAAGGGCAAAAATCCGTCACCGAATTCTCAAAAATCAACGGGATTTTTTAGCGGTTTGAAACTTTTCGTTTGAGTAAAACTGTATGAGCTCTAAAACTGCATGCCAAAAAATGTTCTAAAATACTTATATCAAAAAGTTAAAATTTTGATGAAAATTTGTTGAATTTTCCTAAATTTTCTATTAAACTGGTTCTGGTTAATAGCGCAATTCTGTCTCGGTGACAACCATTTTTTTACTGACAAAATTAAACTTGTTCAGATATTTTTCCGTAATAAAAACTGTGACAAGAATTTGTCACTGATACAGAATAGAGTCGTAAAACTTGTACGTCATTTTAATAAAAAAAATAATTAGCTCGAAAAACATTACGAATATTTAAAAAAAAAAATCAACACGTGGTCATTTGTTTGAGTCACTAGATGTATGTATAAGGGCAACTTGGTGGGTATACAATTAGTAAGTACTCCATGTCCATAAACCATGGCGTGTCTCACTACAAGCTCGCCGCACACATTGTCAGTTCTCAGAGCCGTTAGCTACATATGCACTGCAGACCAGGGATGTAAATTCGTATTTTAGATTGTACCGAATATCACAAAATAATTGTACCTCAGTAGGCAAGAATATGTATACCTAAAAAGTGTTTATATTTACATACTTGAAAGTCACATTTTTTCCATAGATCGATTAAGAACAGTAATTGAAGTGTCTTTGGAACTCCTGAATATGGAACAAACTCTTAACTGCAGAAAATGAATGAAATGAAATTTGACAAGTTCCTGGATCCAGGACTTTATGGAGAAGTTTTCGCGAATGAAATCAAAAGGGGTGTGAAATATTATCGAACCTTTGTACTTAATTTGTTAAAAAACTTAAATAATTTTTTACAATATAGGTTGTGAAAAGGCTTTATTTCTAAACTACATATAGGAGGGTTGCCAGCTGTTTATAAAGTCAAATTCAATTTGAATAAAGGGATTTTGGTAATTGAAATATGTACATACACATTTATCACAATATGGGTGTCAGATGAAAGAGGTTTTAGTTTGAAAAGGTTTTGAATAGAGCTGCCACCAGTTTAAAAAGTTAAATACTAATTATTTAATAAGCTAAATGAATAGTAAAAGATGCGCATCAACCGAAAAGGTGTTGAAAATTTTGTATTTCCAAACTGCATATAGGAGGGTTGCCACCTGTTTCAAAAGTCGAATATAGTTTATTTATATGAAAGTTATATGAAATATTAAAATATGAGTGTGAGACGAAATAGTTTTAAAAAATATTTAGTTTGAACATATGTCTGACTAGGGATGCCACCTATATTTTTAAGGTTTTTGAAGAGGGTTGCTACGTCTTTTAAAAGATAAATTCAATTGACTTTCTACCAAATTATGGTGAATAATAAGCTTTTTTTAACCGACTTCCAAAAAAGGAGGAGGTTATCAGTTCGTCGGAATATATATATATATATTTTTTTTATGTATGTTACCGCATAACTTTGGACCACGTCAACCGATTTCGATAATTCTTTTGGAAAGGTTGTGTCTCAGAGGTGGTCCCATACTTATCTGGTTAAGTTTCGATCAGTGGATCATGAGATATATATATATATATATATTTTTTTTTTATATGAGAGTTGAAGTCGGTTTTTTTTTGCTAAAAATTACTTGTTAGTTTAATCAATCCGAAGTCAACAAGTGCAGAAAAAGAAAAAATTATGGGTCAAACAAGTAATGTAGCTCAGAAAAAATGGAACAAATGAACCTACTTTCGTCGCTGATGCAGACTGAGCTGACTTGAGCGCTGGCGTGTGGTGTGCTCGTGATGGTGGAGCGAGGGTGTGCCGGTAATCGTTCACTTCCAGTTAAGGAACAACAACCGTGCAGAACGGATAACAGACGGCCGACCAGGGCCTGCTTGTCTTGCCATTCATCATTGCCCAGCTCGCTCACAACTATCACCACAGCTCCTGCCACTAAAATTCGCGCCAGTTTGCACTGTGGCCGTCGCCACTTACAAGTGCCAGTGACAGTGTCGCAGCTGCAGTGGAACTGGACTGAAAACTTAATTACGACCGCATGTGCACTTACAACAACAAAACAGAGAATAAACACAAAAATGGCGAAAATAAAACATTGCAAACTTCCATGGACTCGATGTCTCAACGCCTGTTACGCCTTGTCCTGCTTTTGGTCTGTTCCTGCTACTGTTGCTGCCACGGTGTTGATGAAGCTTCAAAATTTTCCCGCTGCTTGCGGTTGAATTGGATCAACGCATAAAACCGTTGTGGTGCACGTTGACTAAAGGCTAAGCATTTTCGTCGACGTTTCCAATTGTGGACACCGAACGATTTGCTAGAATTTCGCCATTCAGATGTTTCTTTCAACTCGAACAACTTATATAAATAATTGCAATTTAAAATGTATGAGCAGCAATAAAGTTGAATTATGAGGGCATGGGGGCAGGAAGGGGAGAGAAGGATGCATGTATGTACATAAAGAGTGAAAATTAAAAATGAACCGCAACTTTATAATTAACTTTATCTTAGTTGATTTTATTAGAGTCCGGCCTATTAAATAATCAGCATCGGCATCGGCAATAACTGATACTAATTAGAACTTTTTTCACTGATCTTTCCTTTTCTTTCGGGTGCTCAATGAATGAATTTTAGGAAATGCCACCAAAATCGAAACAATTGTAGCTCTCTTCAACAAAATAAATGCTCTAACAGCTTGTAACAATTCTTGAATTTTCGTAGATGATTCGAATTATTTCAACTCCCATCTAAACTGAGCATTTTAGCATGACAACGAAAGCGAAAATTTAAAAAATCGCATTGGAATGCGTAGAGAGCATGCAGAATGGAGTAGTTTAAGTGCCATAAACGTGCAACTGCGACTGGGTGCCAGTATTCAGAAGATCCATTTTTGTGCATGCATGCATACATACATACATAGTGCTCGATTGAAGTGGCATGGCTGTAGTGAATGCTTAGTTCCCCTCATTAGTTTCATAGAATAGAATACGAGCAATATTCGAGGCCCCATACATGAACACGTACCTTGGATACTAAGCCGTTCGTGCTCGTAGTTATTTATGTATGTATGTATGCATTTACACACATATTCCTAGCACCGATTCAGAACTATGTATGTATATCTATTTCATGAAAGTTGGGGTTTTAAGAAGACTTAGAAAAAATGGCAGGCAGAAGAATTCAGTAATCTGTTATAGCATACATTTATGAATTGCCGCTATTGTTCACAACATTGAACACCGTGCTGCATAATACGCACATGCAAGTTTATTAGGAAATTATTTAATGACAAAAAAATTGCTTTTACCAAGTAGTCCAAAAAATGTATGTAAGTACTTTATATTTTTTTGCTCTCACAAAAATTGGAGTATTCGAGAGAAAGATTTTGCGCAGGATTTACGGGTCTTTACGCGTTGGCGACGGCGAGTACCGCAGACGATGGAACGATGAGCTGTATGAGCTTTACAACGACATGGACATAGTGCAGCGAATTAAAATACAGCGGCTCCGCTGGCTTAGCCATGTCATTCGAATGGACACCGAAGCTCCAGCTATGAAGGTATTCAACTCGGAACCTTCTGGTGGTAGCAGAGGAAGAGGGAGGCCCCCACTGTGAAGGAAAGACCAGGTCGAGAAGGTCTTGGCTTCACTTGGCATTTCCAATTAGCGTCAGTTGGCACAGAAGGGAAAAAACGGGCGTGATTTGTTGAACTTGGCCAAAATCGCTTAGGAGGTTACAGCGCTAAATAAGAAAAAGGAAGAGAATGTACCATTAAAACCATGTTTTGTGTACATAGTAGGGAATCATTGTTCCTAAAAGTACGGTTGACGATTAAAGAATGTAAATTTAAGATATTGGCAATTTATTTTTAAATAACTGCGTTAGTTTTTTTTTTAGGAACTTCCTATCTACAGTTGTCCACAAAATAAAAAGAGTGCGATATTTGGACCACTTTTGACTATTTGTCTTTTGTTTATTAATTTTTCTTTAAAAGTCTAGCTGGTTATACAACAAACACTATATAAATTCATATTTTAAACTTACTACAAAAATTTTAAAAATTCTGCAAAGTTTTATCGAAATCTCAAACTTTAGCATAACAAATTCAAGTTTCAAGTTGGAAAAAAATTCCGTTGATTTCCCATACAAAGTATGTTCAACAATTTTTGTTTCAGTTGGCAGTGGCCAGCAAAAAAGTTGTTAAAAATTAACGGGATTTTTTAGCAGCTTGAAATTTGCAATTCATTGTTCTACAATTTAATGGGCTATAGAACTGCATACCAAAATGTTTTCTACAGATTTTTTCTCTCTTTTATCCCTAATTATATCTACCTTTTATATCTAATTATCGATATTTTGGTATGAATGTATAAGTAAGGCTTAATGTCAGGAGGTTCCGGTGGAAAATCTCATTTTTGGCACAAATGACAGTTACGAGATTTTGCAGAAGTACGATACGTGGTTTTGTCCTTTAAACGACGATAATTGTCTTGCCCTTAAATAAGTGGGAGTATACTTACGCCGAAAGAAGTTCGGTCCCACTTCGCCGGCAACACAGTAAGGGTTATAATCCCTAAGCGCGGCCGTAGGCCGCCTACGCATAAAGAAGTTCTGCCCCACTTCTCCGGCAACACATAATCCACGTAATTTTACCGTAGATCTAAGGGTATTTTTTACCGTGGATCTACGGTTAAAGTTACCGCGGCGCGTGTGTGTAGACAATGCCTAAAAAAATATATATTTTTCGCCATTAGTACGACACTAAAAGTGACAGATTTCTTAAATATCGATATTTAATCTAGTCTGTTTCATTTACATAGGTATATCATTACCTGCGCGCATACATACTATGTACATTAGTTAGAGTCAATAGCTTACCTTATAGACATCGCCATAGGTGCCCGAGCCGATCTTTTGTATGAGCTCGTATTCGTCTTGTGGATTTCGACGTGAAATATCAGAGCTAAGAAGATTGGCGGCATTATGATGGGCGTGCGCCATATTGTTGCCTTGCAGGAAAATCTAGAAACTGATTTAGATGCTCCAAAGCTAAGGAACTGTGTGAACACTTGATGACAGTTTTGAGTAAGTTTTTACACTACCTACTTCCTTTCCAGGATTTTATTATTCGGATTTTTTTGTACACAACAGATTTTTTGTTGAATTTTCTCTAAATTTTATAGCCCTTTTCTTAATAAACATTAATTTTTTGGCTATTTTTTCCAAACTTTACACACAAGATTTCACTATATGCAATTATTCAGCGCAGCAGGGGGTGATGGGTATTGGGATTCAAAAACAAAACGAGAAAACATTAAATTTATTGCCGCTTACGAAAATATTGTACTTTCAAACCCAACGCTTTAAAATTAACGAAAGAGACTACAACGCGCCGCGACAGCGCTCTGTCATCGCCAAGGGAAAACTAAAAGTTTTTGGACCGCGGCTATTATCGGAATAGCCACCACCTGCTTGTCACTCGTCACCGGTGCGAAAATTCGCAATACGTAAAACAAAACTAGTTCCCACTATGCGTTCTGATTTTATTTTCGGTTGCATGTGTCTTTATAGGCCAGGGAATTTTCGGAATTTAGAGGATTGCTGGCAAATGCAATGAGCACCTGACGTCCTGGTCTACTGGCCGACTTAGTGGCTAGTGGGTTTAAATGTAGTGACACGACACTTCCGAATATACTCGCCAACTATTCAGTTTCAAAGCTTTCCGCATGATATTTTTCCCAAAACGTGGCGCCTTAATAGTGCCTTTTGACGTATCCCGGAACTAGTACATCACACTTTACCTACATATGCGATATTCGTGTAAAATCCAAAGATAGAAAGAATAACTTGCAGGGTTTAAATTTTGCCAGACACCTCCTACCAAAGGCGAAGGTGCCTTAAGAACCAAAACTAGCAGAATAAAGAAGACACGATTGAAATTGTATGTCTGAGTTCCACAAAGGAATATGCGTTTCTTCCAAAATTTCAGACTTTAGTTGTAACTTGCAAGTTAGTCATTTGGTGCGAATCTCGCGATTTTTATACTACAAGTTCTAGGCGATTATTTATTCTCACATCAAAATGCAAACTAAAAAAATAGAAAGCACGCAAAAGTAAAACATAAATTTTAATATGCATATAGTATGGAAATAAAAGAAAAATTACGAATTCACTTTGCACAAATATACAATTGGAAAACACGAAAAATTATAAAGTAGAAAAACTACGAAGTGGGAAGACTTTTGGGTAGCAGAAACTGGCTGAGAAGGTAGACAATGGCGGAGGAGATGGATGAGAAAACAGGGCGATGTCGCTGGCACTGCTGCTGCTTCTGCCACACAATCGTTTTTAACTTCTTGTTTCTTGAGCATTACTTTTATCACTTTTCAAGCAATCGCATATCACTTTTTACAAATGCACTAAAGTAATGATTATCCTAAATTTCACTGCATTTATTTTTCATGTTTGCAATAATTTTGGAAATTGAACATTTTCCACTCGCTACGCGACGCAGCAATCGACGACGACGACGACAACAGCGAAACGAATTTTTGACAAATGAGACGATGAACGTCACTGTGCTGCTTTGCTGCCTTCGCTGCTCGCGTTTTTTCGACAGCGCTGTCAGTGGGCTGACTTTGACAGTAAACTGGGTGATGTAGTGCAAAATTCATGCAGGGTTGAACTGAATTTCAGCAAAGAAATATTAATCAGATTGTAAATGTATTTATATGTCGTCTTAACGGTTTGTAATATTATCTAATTTTAACTAATTTCCAATTCTACAATTCCCTCCCAGAGAAAAAGAAAAACAAACAAATCTGAAATTGAACTGCTCTCTGTGGTGCACAGGGTGTATTTCATGATTGGTGATGTTTGCGCGCCATCTGTTAAGACTTTAACTAAAATACAGGGTACATGTTTTTCTTTCGTTAAACCTAAGTCTCCAATTATTTATCTCCAATCTCTACTAACGGGTTGGGAAAACTTTGCATTCACGACCTAGAACAGAGAACGTATATAAATATTTAATTTTAATTAAAATTCGTAAGTTTCTCTTATACGGATTTTGAACATTTATTTGTGCTTTTTCTTATTTGATACACTGTTTCATTTTTGTAGAAGAGATTTAAAACTAATACTTTTTATGACATACATACATTTTTAACACAAAAGATTTTGATTGATTTTTAAAATTATTTTCCTATGTTTTTTTGGTTAGTTTTAAACTTGGGGAAACTTTGTTTTTTTGTGACGTAGACTGTGATACTGCAGTGAATGAAATAGAACTTATAAAACTTAAGATACAAAATTACGTACAAAACAATTATAAAAAATCCAAATCGTTAAATATTATCTAAAATAAGTATTGCAATTATATATAATACAAAATAAAATGCTGGTCATCGTTTCGAAAAATTGGCTTACACACAAAACTTGATAAATTGGTGATTTTTTAAAGAAGAAACCTAACAAAGAGTGTGCAGTATTTGATTACTTTTGATGATGCCGTTGTATATCTTTTAAATTTCGAGCCTGTTGCTTCGTGTGCGAGTATTTGAAATATCTTAAAACAACAAAAATTGTGTAAAAAAACAATAACAGAAAAAGGAAAACTCGGCTTCAATAAATAATGATTAACTTGCTGAGAGCTTTCTTTTAATAGGTTCGAGTCAGGGTTGCTTCCTTCACATACGGTACTACTTTCTTGCTGGCTGTCGCTGTACGCGATGTGCTGTGACTGGCATTGCTCTGTGCATGTGTTTGTTTCCATTAGCAACACTTTCACAATTTTCGTATACTGCGATCAGCAGCGGCAGAGTTAAGCTTCGATCTGTGACAAGAATTAGAATTTGTATTAGTATATTTGTAAAAAAAAATAATTTTTAGATTTCATAAAAAATACATTGCTTAAAAAGAACTTCAAGAACAGCAAACGGAATAAAATAAACGCAGCAGAGGCACAAAGTGTTCGAAATATATTTACAAGTATGTATGTACATATTCGAAATAAAAAAAAAAATTGCACATAAAAGTGTTTTATGATTTACGTATTTTCAAGCGAGACCGGACGTAACTCACAGAAAACGGTAAAATACAAAATTGTCAGACGTTCATTTTTCCAATCACATTTTGAACGTTTTAAAATGAATTAGAGGTTAGTTGGCAGGCGCTGAGGAATGGCTTGATTTAATGAAATCCCACTTGTAGTTTTATTAGCACTTAAAAGGTTATACTAAAAATTTAACGGATATTTTCGCAAGAAAGCACGCAGACTATAAAAAGATGCATATAAATACATATATTGGCTGAATTTAATGGCGTCATTATAAGCTTATTTTCTTCAATTAAGTTTTCATTCTCAATCCAAGCATTCGAAATACAAGCACATAATTTTTTTTTTTCAAAAACAATTCGCAAATGCATGCATATAGCTTACCCGGTAGTAAGGTACCGAAATCCATAACTTTTCGTATCAAAAACCGTTAGATTTTTAATTTTCTTTTATATTTTATTTTTTTTTTTGTTTATGATTTTGTTCTTAAGACATACAAGTACAGATATAATCCGTAGTATTTTTCCCACTGCGCGAGAATAACGAGTGAAAAGCTTTCAACATTGAAAAATTACAAAATTGTTTTAAACCTTTTTGTAGCATGATTAGTGAAGCGTAAAATTAATTGCTGGTGTTAGAAATCTCTATTCTTTTAAAAGTCGTCATCCTGTGTTGGGGGTAAGGGGATATAGTAAATGTGCATAGTGTTATTAGTGGGATTGAGAAAAATTGTTATCAGTAAGATTAAATGCGAAAAAGCTAAGCAGTGATTTATGAAAATTTTAAAAAGCTTTTAAGGTACTATCCTTTGCTTGATATGAATTCTGTTAGAATAATACATTTGGCGTTGCGAAAAAAAAATATAAATCTATATCAAAAAAAATTTAATTGGATTTGAAGCATAGAAGTCGAAACGGTAACAGAAAACTAAATAGACAACAAAATATTTAGAAGGGTTCTAACAAACTGAACGAAAGCAGCAATGAAAGTGTTGAAAGCGTTCAAAACAATTTCGTAAATGCCATAAGCTTTTTAAAAATGTCACATTTGAAATGTGCGAATTTCCATTTCCCATTCTTATATAATTCGACAGAAAGAATATAGCACATTCTATGAATTTTTATAATAAAAAATTTAGTTTTAACAAAAATTTCGCATGTAAGTAAAAACTTATAACCCAAATATGTAGAAATATTTTCGAATGAAGGTTTGATTACAACTAAACTTAAAGGTTTTTCAAAATCAACTATAAGATTGACTAGAGTATATCTTGTTCTGTGAGTACCGGAAATGAGGTCCTGTGTTGTTTTTAACGTATTTTATAGGAAAAATTAAAAAATAACGTGTTTACGAGTGGTTCAGAAAAAAAGAGAGAAAATTAAAAAGATCGAAATTAGTAGAAAATAAAACTATTGAATCTGACTATGGAGCTTTGAACGATTTCTTTGAATATCCGCGCACATAATACAAGTGTTAAGTTGTTGTAGTTGTTGTTGTGTTAAGTTTACCAAAATTAAAAAAAAAAAAATCTCTCAGATGTATGTATATCTGACACTAATCTGGGTTTTTCAATATTTTTTTTTTTTAGCAAAAGTAATACTTAGTTCTTTAGTGTCATTTAAAAATTATCGCTATATAGGTTGAGCGTCAAAACTAAGTATACCCTGACGTTTTGACGAATTTATCTGTTTATATTTTCCAATCTAAATTATACTAATTTTTTTATAAAAAATATAGTTCATTCAACAGCAAAAACTACAGGAAGAATCAAGGTTTTTAATTTCATACGGAAGTCGGAAAAATTCCAGAAATTTTCAAGCTTCCAATCCGATTTGTTACACCCTCAGTGAAGTGGGGAAACTTGCACCTTATTATACAAACATTTTTTGGGATATAAAACTGCATACTCAAAATTTGTCTAAGAAATCGGTTTGAAAAATTTAGCTCGCATAGTCAACGAAAAAACTAGAAACTCATTTAATTCGCCATTTCTACTTACAATTCCATTGAAAGCACTGTAGGATTGGGACACGCCTGCGGCGCGCGTATGTGACACTGTTTGTGGCAGATCAGATTGCAGTCCCGGCACTCGTAGCCCTGCTTGCCCGGGCGGCGCGGGATGGACTTCATGCAGACTTGACATTGTAGGCCGCCACTGGGTGAATACATAAAAATAAGAATAGAAATAAAACTGAATGTCCATTGCCACCTACCCGCTCAAATGCTTGGCGATGAAGGTGTGGTCATTGTAGATGTGCAGCTTAGTGCCCTTGCGACGCCACCTGGGTCGTTGTGCAATTGCCAGCGGTACAATAAAATGCCTGCAGGGAATATAGAGAAAGCAGATGCAACAAAAGCGTTCTTCCAAGAGCCTAAATTTAACACTTTCTCAAGACCTGCACAAATGGCCAATTGACTTACCGCTTAACGCCATTCTCAATCGTCTCCAGCACCAGTGTGGATGCCTCGTGTACGTACGTTTTGTTGCTGGCCGATGAGAAACCTGAGATTGCGGACGATTCTGAAATTGAAGATTGCCTTGAGTGATCAAGTCGTGAGGAGCCAGCGCGTAGACCTGAGGTTTTTCGTTGCATTATTTTTAATTTATTTGTATTTTTAGTTGGCATTGGTTTTAAAAGTAAATATTGAAATTAAATTATACAAAAGCGTGCAATTTCGATACCAAAATAAAGTTATAATAATTTTTCCACCAAAGTAATTTAATTTTTTTGTTTTGTCATTTTTATTTGCACCAAAATAGTGGTAAGTATCACAAGTAGTGGTAGTAATACAGAGCGGTGGGTGAGGTTCAGAATCCAAATGTGTACAGATTTTCCGAAAATGATTTTTTGTTGAATTTTTTTGCCGTATGAAATTAAAATCGCCCAAAAACATAAGATGGAAACATATGAAATTAAAAAAGAGAGTAAAATTAAATTAATTACAAATATGAATCAATTATGCAAAATTGAAAGCATTAACAATATTTTCAAATAAAATTCAAGCAATAAAATTTAATTTAAAAAAAAAAATCACGCGAGCCCATATTTAGGGGAGAAAAATATATTTACGGGTTTGTGTTTCAGTGTTGATGTTGTGTAAAGGATTTACATGTGTGTTAATGTATGTTTATGCATGTGATTAAGTCGAATTCGTATTAGTCATACATACATACATAGTAAGTTCACGTTGTCGGCAACAGTGGTGACAGAGTAAATGGTTAAACAGAGTTCAAGTGGAGTGTGTTAAAAAGAAGATATAGACAAATATACAATAGAGAGTTTATGAGACGAAAAAAGACAGAGATAGACAAAATAAAAACTGCTTAGTAGTACATTAAAGGGGCACTATAACAAACGAAAGTTATAAAAATGGGACTACATACATAAATATATGGCTCAAATGAAAACAAGGCGGATACGAATTGAGTCTACATAAGTATACAAATTTAAAAACATGATAATGAGGGTAATCACAATCCTGTGCATTTGGTCTTACATTTGCATATTTAGTTGCAATGTAAACTTTCATTAATTTACAACAGGAACATACATTACTTTGCAAATAAAAGCTGCAAATTTCCCAAAATATGCAAATGCAAGATCGCATGCAAGAGACTGTGGACACTCTTTTGTGCGCAAAAAATTGGCTTAGCAAAGAGTTTTTCCTTTATGGTTAGTTACAATTTAAGCACAATTTTCACAGCCAAATAAAAAGCAAAAGGAAAAAATTAATACTAAAACTAGTTCATCAGCCGTTACCATACTCACACAAATGGATATACATACATACGTACACACATTTGCATAAATTAGCTATAACCTATAAACATAAGGTTAAGAAGCTTTATGAAAAATCCATAGTGAATGAAAATTAAGTCCACACAAGTGTTAGACCAAGAACCAAGGCATTGGATAGGTGGATGGATGGTAATTACCAAGTGAATTGCTTTTAGACATTACAGCACGATCGACAGATAATGAACGTGAATCACCGTTAAGTGTTCCTGTTGGGGTAGTACCGTTATTATTTTGGGACGGCGTCAAAGCGCCACGATCAGCCGAATGGGTGCGTGTCTTGGATCGACTTAAACGTTTTTTTAATGTTCCAAAGAAATTTCGTTTCTTACTCCGGCCTCGTTCGTCCAGATCAGCACCGCTCAATGGTGTACTGGTGGCGCCGCCATTGCGTGGCAGACTGTTGCTCTGATATCCATAACTCTGGGATCCATTTGTAGTCGAGTTGCCATTATGTGGTGAGTATCCGTTGTGGCCTTGCGGAGAGGAGGCGGCATTCGGTTGTCCAAACTATTGAATGAAATAAAAAAGCTCCCATAAATACAAGTAAATTCAGAATTATCTGCGTTTTAAAGCTATCTACGATTCTTGTAGGCTTTTTTATTGACATACAAAAAACTTTAAAACGCAAATAGTTTTTGGTTTTTAGTACTTTTGGTTTAATAAGAATATTATTTCGCTTTCGCAAGAAATGCAAACATTCTCAAACAAGCTTCAAACTAACAATCATTTTTGGCGTACTCACCTCCGCTCTGGATGCAACAAAGGCACTGCTGTTACCTGATGCCACCCCCGACTCCTCCAGGTACCCATCATTTGCTGGAAACGAGTCTGTGGGACTTGCCGTTATGTCTGTCGTCACCGAGATATCCTGATGGATTTGCTCTATGTCCGCTGTCGTATTGGCGGTGGGCAACGATTCGCTTGTATTGTCGTTCAATGGGCTTTCCAAAGCTTGGGACGCAGCCGTGTCAAGCTCATCTTGCGGCGATTCCTTGACTTCGATTCTGCCCTCATTGTTAACCTCAACCTGTTTCCGTTGCAGGCGAGATTTCGGTTGGATTTTCGGTGATGTTGCAGGTTAATTTTTGTTAGAAAGCGCATTAAGTCATTGGATTATAAGCAATTCGAAAAGTAGCCAAAACGAGAACAATATTACGTAATAAGATATAAAGACTTAAGTTTTATACTAAATTACTTTATGTATGTAATTGAATTAATGCACAAAAATGAGTGCAACTCAAAAATAAAGGAATCTTAGTTGGAAATGGTTAAATAGTGATATTCGGGCCTTTCCCGTTGGCGTTGCCGTTGAAAAGGGAAATAAAAACGACAATTTGGCAACACACTTGGTGTTTGAAAGGAAGATTAAAAAATAAATTGAACAGATTGTCGATCACTTTTCTTCGGCGTTTCATATTATTTCAGAAACGAAGCGACAACCCCGACGGGATTGGGCCCGAATATGTAATTAACTTTGTTAGAAGAAACCAAATGTAAATAAATATATAATGTATATGCATAGAAAAATTAAATAAAAATTACCTTAAATGCATTTGAATTGTTCTGGTTCTATTTATATTTTGACGTTGCGAGATGGTTTACATGATGAAAAGCAATTCATAATGTAACGGTGAGCGAACGTGAGTGAGCAACATGAAAAACAAAAAACAAAATGTAGCTTTTATAAAATAATGCAATGAGCAGATAATCTCGTAGAACTCAAACGAAAGTATTTAGGAAAACAAGTAGCCGGGATATGCGTTCGTAAATACTTCGCGATGAAGAATGGAGAATTGAAAATAAGACTTTGATTTTTATTGAGTTTTCTTAGGTTTTTTTTTTTATTTCTCAAATAGAAGTACTTAAGAAGATATTAGACGTGGCAAATGCAAGTAACGCAAGAATTCCGCGATTACAGCTGCGGTTACACCTTGCATGTTAAATAACTTTGGAAGTTTAATTTCCAAAAGTCGAACTTTCTGATACCACAAGGTGATTGCAAAAGATTCCACTTTCAACACATAAGAAAATTAATGAATTTGAAAAATTTACTTACAAGTAATTTTTAAGCAAAAATCACAACCGACTTCACCGTTAATTTTTTCATGATCCAATGATCAGATCTAAACCAAATTTTTATGAGTGAGTTACATACCCTTCCCAAATTTTGTGATGTTGAGATATTTACGGAAAGAAACTTGCATTTAACTTGCGTTTAAAGAAATCCGCCAAGCCGATAATTTCATTTTAAACAAGGACGTGAACCCGATGAAAAATTGGTCAATTCTATTCAGCGGTTCGTACCGTTTCAGCACCTTTGGATTGAACCGGGGTTTCGGTTCTGTTCAACATATACATACATATTTGTGTTATTTTTATTCAGTAACAACAAAAAAAAAAAAAATACATATAATGTCATACGCTATACATATTTAGTAAAAAATGGCCAGACAGAAAAAAAAACATTGCATTACCATATTTAACAAAAGAAAAACTTAAAAAGTGGGGAAAAATTTGTCGAAACGCACATTAAACCTTTATTAAAAATGGTTTTGTTTTCGGTTCGGATCAAAAATATTTAAAAAAAAAATCAATCGAAAACTACTCTAAAACTAATCTCACTCTCCATTCCACCGCTGCCCTAGCATTCAGGTGCATATTTACAAATGAGTGCCATCATTTATGCAACTTCAAAACTCACCCGTTGAACACTGTGTATAATTAGCGTACTCTTGCTGGGCTGTCCCGTTGTGGATAGCGCGCCATCTTGCAGCGCACGTACCGCAGCATTGGCCAAGTCGGCGCCATTCTTCATGTGCTCGTTAATGATGGGCGTGCTAATCTTCAGCGCCTCTTTTAGCTTATACGGCTTGGGTCCAGCGGGTATTTCGGCACCTTCAATGAACACAAAGTCCACAGTGATGGTGCCACTCACCGGATGCGTCTCGTAAGGGCGCGGCTGCAGTGTCAGCACTTGTGTGGATGCAGGCCCAACGGCCAACTCATCAATGCCCACTAAACCCAAGCCGAGGAATTTACTCGGTTCCTCGTTTGCGGCACGATCGTACACTTCGAACAGGATCTCGGCCGAATGTGGCGACAATTCGCTAGCGGTAGAGAATGTCAATTTTACAAATATGAAAAGAAACGAAATTGAAATGACTCACAATAGGAAATGTTCATCCCAATAGGGCGTAGTGCCCTGACGCACACCAGTTTGATTTTTTTGTGCCGGTTCGTCCATCTCCACCACCACATAGGGATCCTTGGCGTCGGCGAGACCCTCACCCTTGACAATTTTCACGAGCAAGCGGCGACCAGAAATCATGGGTTGTAGCCCGGACAGGTTAGAGCCCTCCTTGTTTTGCTATAAGGTTGTTATGGTTTTGTTGTTTTGGTAAAGTATTAAAGAGAAATGATGCGAGAAAGGTTTTGTGAGTAAATTACGTGGAAAATGCGAGTAATGTAGAGAAATTGTTTGTAATGCGTAGGCAATGAAATTCGCCTTTTATTAGAAAAGTCCGATTATACATTGAAAACATTGTATTTTTTTTTTTGTTGAATGAGTTTGTATACAGATTATTAGGAACTAGATTTTTGGATATTATAACAATTCATTTGTGAAATTAATGGGGAATATTGTCTTTTTAATAATTATAGTAATATTGATAAGCCCTCTGAAATGAGAGAAAGCAAAAAAAAAGAAAAATGAGCTTAACGTTTGAATGTCGATTTTGAAAAGTGATTCTGGCTAGTGGTTCAGTATAGTGAATTGTTAGTTACGTTTAAGTAAACAAAAGGCAAATTTCATTGGCGACTTAGTTGAGGCTAAAATGATTTTAAATTTTATATATTTCATACATATACATAAATACACATAAAATGGAATGCTAAAGAGTGAGTAGAACAATGAGAAGAACAATTTTAAATTTAAATGGCGCAGTGTATGTAAAATCTGTGTAGTGTTCTTTTCGAGTTTTCAGCAAATTTTCATACACACAAAGGCATGCACAAAGTGATTACTTCTTGGTTTCATTTATACACAAACTTTTTTGGAAAAAGTGTACCGTTTTCCAAATTGTGCTTATTGCGTAACTGCCAATTTTGATAAAATGTGGAAATTGTCTTTGACAAAGTAATAATTACACATACATATATTAGTTGCGTTCCAGATGCTTCACGATATCCACGATTTGCAGGAACAGCTGTTTTCTCCATTAATAAACCTTATGGAAGGTGGTCACCTGGAGCGACTTCCTGTAAAAACCTGCAAATCGTGAAGCATCTGGAACACAACTATTGTATTTCAATGAGATTAACAAAAAAACGAGCATGGAAAACGCGATTTTTTAACGAAATGAAAGTTGTGTTTCGGTATTTGAATTTTCTATTTCTTCTCACTGCACTGACGCTCACCGCTAACGCATCATAATTCACTGGATATATTACAGGCATATCCAAGGGATCGATTTCGGCGCGTGGGCAAGTCGCATATATCGAGAAGTCCACCGGATACAGGGTGTCACGCAAGGCGACGCTGATAATCTCGCTTATCACATTCTGCAGCTGTTGTTCATCCTGATCTATTGGCTTGATGGCCCCCACACTATTCAAGGCAACGCGTATCTGAAATGGTTTATTTGTAAGTTCCACTGATTGGTTGGGAGAAATAAAGTGACCACTTACATCCGGATAACCATCAACTTTCATTTCGCCTTTGAGGCTGTTATAGTTCATGGCAGTGGCCATGCGCCCACGGAAACGTGAAACGGTTACTTTGTAGTGGGAGGTGTCGATTTTGCCGGCCTTTTGGCGGAACGTTTTCACCTGCAACACCGGCTGTGCTTCGCAATCGAAAGTGATCAGCTGTGGGAAGCAAGTGTTTATCAGAAATTCGTCAATTTGTGTGCGTATGTATATATGTATGTAGTGTAGAGGTGTTGGATGTGGAACCTACCATATCCGATGGATTATTTTCATCACAGTTGCAAAAAATATTATTCAAACTAGGTGGTGGACTGTCGGGGAGCACGCGTACTACTTCTACAGCGACACCATGCTAAAAAAGAGAAAATAGTTCCAATTATAAAATTGGAACGGCATATTGCAATATATTTTCTAGATTCCGCCAAAACAAAAAACAAAAAAATAAATAAATAAAATCGAAATTGGTTTGCAAAAATACCTTCGGCTCAGAGGTGCATGGCAAATATTTTTTTGGTTACTTATAAGGTGGCACGGTCTAATATTCCATTTTAATAGATAAAATATTTATAGCTGTTTGCGTTTTGTATTTCTTGTATTTATTTATGTATGGATGTTTGTACATACCTACATACATATGTACATGTGTACATATTATATATTCCATTTGGTTCTGGTCTTTGCCTCTTCGAATTGTATTTTTATAGCTTTTATCGCTTTCCAAACTCATTCGCTTTTGTTGTTATTATTGTTGTTATTTTGTGTTGAAACCGAGGCCAAGGTTAACATTAAACTCTTTTTTTTCTTTTACATACGTTCATTTGTATATATACATGTACAAATATACGCACATACGAATATAAAAGCCAAATATGTACATTAGGGTGGTCCAAAAAAAAAAATGCATGTGGGAAAAAGTAAATTTGGAATTTTAATGCTCTCACCTCCTAGGTTTGTTCTAAACCGAAAAAATATGCCCATATTTTTTTTTATTTCGACACAAAACAAAGTATTTGGAGGTCACTCAAAGCGCCCAAAGTTTTCTGTGTTTTATACCGGGAAAAAAATAATTTTTCGTGGAAATGGTATTGAATTTTTGCAAATCAAGGGCACCTATAAAAAATTGTTAGTATCAAAAAATGGTTAAATAAACAATTTGGTATTATTATTAATAGTCTCCTGAAGAGTACCAACGTTTTCCGATCAAAAAATATTGACTTTAAGATATCAATACCATTTCAAAGAAAAATCGTTGTTTTTCCAAATAAAATGTATTGAAAACTATAAGCGCTTTGTGCGACCTCTAAATATTTTTCGATTTCAAAATAAAAAAAAAAAACGGCACCATTTTTTCGGTAAGAACAGACCCAGGGGGTGAGAGCATTAAAATTCAGACTTTACTTACTTTGGACCACCCTAGTGTAAATACATACTTATATATGTATGTATATTGTCTGCCGAATTTTTTTTAATTTTCGCCTTTTTCTTATTTTTCGTTTGCTTTGTTTTTTTTTTGAGCTGCGGATTTTTGTATACGATTTTTTTTTCTCCACGGAAATTCGCATTAAGAGCCGGTATTTGCTAATTTTCCTTTTTTAATATAATCCAAAGCCTTTGGTTATAAATGAAACTCAATTGATATGAAATTCAGTACGCATAGCTGACGTAATACTTGATTTAATTTTATTTGTTTTGTGCGTGATCTCAGCTTTTTCGGAATTGTGAGCAATATAAATTAATCATATAAATTGGCATATAAAGGTTAAGGGTCTTTCAAGTCAAATTGATACTTTGATAAGAATTTAATCATTCTTAATTAAAAACTAATATGTAGAAAATATACTAAATATTTACCGCAAAGGTAAGGCCAAGTCATTGATGTTCAACCAGATAATTAATCATCTTGCAATAAGCTTGTTTGCTTGAAAAAGTGCCGCGAGTATTTTCTGCAGTGTAGGGATAAAACATCTCTTTTTTGTTGTCGCATCACGCAACACGCGAATTTCTTTGGTGTCAAATTTGGTTTGGAGACAAGAGCTCTTGTTCAAAATCGACTATACGGCAATTCGGTTAGTCGAAAAATCGTAAATGAACGGATAGTCGACTATTCGATTGTCGAAAGGACTAACCGATTAGGGGCTCTAGTTTCTAGATTGGGGCATATTACAGTCTTTTTTCATTTTCCAAAAATTCTAGAAGAAAGTCCAAGTCTAAGTAAATAATTTTTCTCTAGATGTTTTACCTTACATCTACAAAAAACAATAGTAAGGTGGTGGTCCTTTTCCGTTTCTGATTTTTTATCAATTCGCATAGAAACTGTCTTTTGGTCATGTCACATAGGTTTTTTTTCAATTTGAAATAGACATTTTTGTATTCTTTGCATAAAGCCATAATGGCACCATTAAAATTTAGTGATTGCCAGAGAATAGTTACGAAAGCGCCCAAACTGGTTTAAGCTCACTCAACAAGCGGATTTTATAATGTTATGCTAATTATGTATTTAAAACAAAAAAAAATTAGCTCACCTCTTCCATAGATTTCTTCAGCGTATCATTTAAAGCTATAACCCAGGAGGTTAAAAGTTCGTTCACAATCACCAGATCGCTGTAAAGCCAACGGAATACTTGGCTAGTCCAAGTAACGGAGACCTATTCATATACAAATATACAAAATTATGGTATTCAACATTTTTTGTTTTCGCAGATGAAATTTCCTTAATTTTCGCTACTCACTGTCTCGGGTCCAACAACATTGGATGGCGGCGGCACATAGCGCTTCTTGCGGCTTTCTGGCCCAGTGGAGCCCTGTCGCACCATGCGTCGTCGCGGTCCAATAGCACCACCACCACCACCACCAGCGCCGCCAACTGGTGTCCGTCCACGTGCACCAACGGGTTTGGCAGCTAAGTCCTGATTTCGTGAAAAAAAAATAAAATAAAAATGTAAGAGTGCATGCTTCGCATTTAAACGGCTGACCGACCTTAAAGTCCGCTTTGCTCGCCACCACTTCTCTTGGTTCGGAAAGTCGCTTGTTCGCTTCGATTTTCGTTGTGGTAGCTCCGCCGGGGGCCACACTGCTTTGCCGGCTATTGCTCTGACTAGTCGGCGTTTTATTGTTATTCACCACATATTTGTTGTATAAAAATTTGCACAGCCATACTAAGAAGAGGGCTACTACGGCCCAAATAAATATGAAGATTGCTAATGAGTCCATTGTTAAGTCACCAATTCCTTCAAATGAACAAATGTAATCATCGATTTGATCTGCTAAATCCATAATTTAATGCGATGGCAGATGCATGAAGCAAATTTTATGCCACATATCTGGAAAGCAGAAAATTTTGGAACCACTAAGTATTTCTTAGGCAGATTTTATTGAAAAAGAACATATGTTTATAGTAGACAAGTTTTTAAGTTTATTGGTAACTGAAAGCTTTTGATAAGATTTTGTAAGCCAAAGATAACAGCAACAACATGCTCCTAGAAAGCTTTAAAAAAAGAAACAGTATTTGACAAAAAGCCGATAGAAAAGATTTAGAGTGCTCTACAAAGATTTACCTTATTTTGCTCCAGAAGAATAATAGAAAATGAATCAATATAGAAAGACAAACAAAAATCTGAGTGTAACACGAATTGCCGATGACCTCGCAATGTCAGATGTGTGAGTAGTTAGTTTTATTGATTTTTATTGTTTTGGTCTTGTCGATAAACCACAGAATTTATTTTATTATTCTTCCTTGTTTACATACATACATACATTTACATATATCTTTTCGTATTCTAATTGAGATTCTCACAATGACGGGTGGTGATTGACAAAACACATTGGGAGACTCTCCCCGATAGGCGCACACAGACACTTCCTCAGTTGCATACAAAAATTACACACTTGCGAAAATAGCCAAACTCGTTGGCCGAAAGCTGCGGACGAAATACGCTCGTGTAAATGGCCGAGAAACATAGATTCGCTGCGAGATTTTTTTTTTTCAAAAATTGTTGAAAAGCAGAAAGTTTTAACTGGCTATTTTTAGCGCAATAGCTGGTGAATTTTTCGCATTTAAGATCTTTATAAATGTGTGTAATTTCTTGCTTTTTGGATTTTTGGCAAAAACTGGAGCACACGCGTAGCAAACTTTATTTATTGCGTAAAATTTGCAGACGGCAGATTCGATTTTATAAAATTTGCAGTTATAAACAAATATTGTATGATTTTTTCTTTTTTGTATGTGGCTTTTTTCAACCTTTCTTGGCACAAATTAAAATCTATAAAAGGAAGAACCAAACCGAACCGAATCGTAAGAAGAGTGTTGAACGAAAAAGAATTCAAAACGTTCAAAAAGCAAAGCGAAACCAAACTGAATTGAAAATTCGGTTGAGACTATGAAAATCCCACTACAGCCGGTGGCAATACCTGGCAGAGTCGAAAAGAGAGAACGAAGAATGTAGTCAACGAGCAGCCGGCAGAGTATGCGCGTAATACTCAGAGATCACGATAAGGCCATTTCGCTTGGCAGTGCGTCGACGCACAAAGATAAATGAAATGGCAAAGGAAAAGCTAAGCACTTTTTTGTTGGAAAATTTAGGGGCTAATCGCGGCCGTCGTGGTCGAGTGGTTAGTGGTGCGCACTACCACTCGGTAGGTCCATGGTTCGCTCCCTGGTCCGAGCAACACCAATAGCGGTCGCCTCCGAGTGTATTTCTGCTTCTCATTAACAGCTTCTCATTAACACCATTTGACATACAACTGCAGGTCCCTCCACTTTGTGTGACATCAAGGAGGAGAAGCTCGTCCAAGCACTAGGCAAATATTTATTTATTCTCGGCTCACCAATAGACAAAGATGTTCTCTTGTTCAATTGTTGCCCACAAATAACCACCTCTATGATTTGTCCTCTGTCATTCCCAACCCGTTCATATATACCCAGCCAGCAAAAAATCCGATGAAACCCGGATTTTTGTCCGTTTACCGATTCCATTTCCGGATACTTTAATGATCCGTTTTCCCACTAAAGTGTGCGGCAGAAACGTATGTACAGAAAAGTACCGAAAATGGTGGTGAAAAGGATACGTTTTCGGGAGTTTTTTTTTTTTGAAATTTGTCTGATTGAATTTTTCGTTCAATACGCTTTCCTTCTGCACTTCACAGATAACTTTTCATGGTTCAAACAAAATAAAATAAAATTAGGAAGTGCCTGAGGGAGTTCGAACCCGGCACCTTCTGGAAGCTAACAAATAGCGGTACACTCCTCTGCACGCTCAGCCACTGCCGACTACGCATGCATGCTTTCAAATGTTTAGCTTGAGCAAATAAAATATAATTATTGCTTTCAAATGACATCATCTTTTTCGAACGTTTACCGGATGCGAAAATCGATGATAACTGTAGGAGTTTTTTGTATGCGTTTTCGGATACGGAAAATTGAACTAAACTGCACTGTCGGCAAAATTTACGTTTCTTTGCTGGCTGGGTATGTTTTAGTAGGTAAGAGTATGTACACATATAGTATGTACATATGATCGCACACAATGCATGTATTACAATTGTATTGTCTTACTGAACATTTGTATCTGTCGGATGCGGGTGCCGTTGTTGGCACTTTCACACCTTCGGCTTTTGACGTCATACTTTTTCGATACGAAAATAAATTCAAAGTGTGTGTGTGTGTGTTTGTGTGTGTTGGTTTTCAAATAACCGAATAATTGCCTGCATCACCGTTGGATGCTCATTATTTTCGAAATGACGTAATTGTGGAGACAACGAAATTTCACGTTTGCCTTTGGGCGCACGCCATCGCCAAGTATTCTCGCTGCCATTTATGTATAATTGTTGCAGTTGTGTTTTCATCACATTTTTTTAGTTTTTGTTTTTGGTGCATGCAGTGGAGGTTTTGTTTTATTTTTGTAATTGTTTTCACTTCTGTACGCAAATAGATTTTTTCCAACATCAACACATACATATGTATCTATCCTATAAATTTTGTCTTCGATGGCTGTTTTAATGCTGTTGGCGGAGTCATTAATTTTAAATGCACAAAAAAAAGCTGGAGTTTGTAGTGCTATTGAAACAGACGACAAACTATTTTTAGGAAGGCAATTCTTGATTGGGTTTAGATTTACTTACCTTCAAGAAAAATGTGTAAAAATACATACATACACATATACAAACATATGTACATATATGGCGAATGTTACAAATTTAGCTTTGAAAATGCAGTTTGAAAATTCCAATATCTTAGCACTTTCTTAATTTTTTAACGGAAAGAGGCACTGCTTATTTGTGGAATTTTCATTTTTAAGTAGCATTGTGCCGCTATATGCATACATATGTATGTAGATACAGCATGCATGATGCACTCGGATCGTTGCCAAAGGAAATCTGCAAAATCTCTTTCAACTGAGTGTCTATTATTGCGAATTAATTATTTTTTGTTTAAATTTTTTTTTTTTGTTACTTCTTTTTCTCGCGAGATACGAAATGCCTGGCTCATGTAAAACAAACAATTTACATGATTTACATATTGAATGAATGAACAAGGGGAGAAATGAATTTGGCACTTGTTGCAGACAACAGGCAACAATAAGCAATGCAAATACGAAAATAAAAATAAACACAAAACAGCAAGCAAACAAATGTAAATTTTCAAAAATTTGTTGTTGCATATGCTGGCGAATTACAGCCAGAAATTGAAATTTGTATGCCAAGTTGAGTGATAATTGATGCATTTCTTTTAATTTTTAAGTCAAATAATTTCCAAAATAAATGTATGAATTTACTTGAAAATGAATTAACAAGTAATTTTTAAGCAAAAAACAAAACCGACTTCAATGCTCCTATAAAAATTTAAGATTATCGTTAATTTCTAAATGGTCCGATAATCGGACTTAAATTAAATTAATATGGGACCACCTGTGAGGTAACATCTTTCATTAAAAATAAAAAATTATAGAAATCGGTTAACGCGGTCCAAAGTTATGCGCTAAAAAAAAAACATATTCCGACGAATTGATAACCTTTCTACTTTTTGTGAAGTCGGTTAAAAATAGCATACAAGTTTAAAAATATGAACTAAACGAAATTTTTATCAACAGTTATGGCTAAGCTTTGTACAGGGTGGCCCAAATAAGACCTACCAATGTTAAACACGTATAACTTATTTATTTTACATGTTTTTACATGTCAAAGTTAATCCCTTGGAAAATCGTAATGGATGCTCACAGCAAGACCACCAACAACGACTACAATACGCTATGCGTTTTACTCAATAAGCCACAGAAATTGATTTTTTAGGTAATGTTTTGATGTCGGATTAAGCGCATTTCCAAGCGAAACTGTAGATTGTGAGGCTCTGAAAATCCAAGGGCAAAACACCAGCACCAGTTACACCCATCCGGATGCACTGTTTGGTGCGGTGAAAAAGTTATCGGCAGCAACAATTTCTGGGCATTCTTACGGAACAACGCTTGACAACTTTTTGCGGCCAATGGCAGAGCAGCATCCTAATTTGTGATTCCAACAAGATGGAGCGACTGCGCACAATGCTAGGCAAACTATGGACATGCTGCGTGAAATTAATATGTATTATTTGGCTCACCCTGTATTTAATAAATTACTAATTACTGAATGCCTCACTGACCATGCCTGCTAAACGTCTTAACAAATTTGTATGTACATAAATAATAATATGAAGTTGGTATACATTTGCCAAGTATCCATGCAAATCGACGAGAAGCACGTTTTCCAACACTTAGAGATGTGGACTTGATTTTTAACAATAGATTTGTTGTTGGCATTAGTCATGACTCAAAAAGTTGCTGATTTTTCAACTTCAGTGCCGTTGAATATACACGTTTTAACACAACACACAAACAAACACACGCAGGTTTCGGCGTCTGCAACCAGCACATCGACACAGTGGGTGTCTATAATTTGTGGCGTATTTTGTTGGTGATGCAACAATCTATGCGATGTGCTGTCATGTGATGTCATCACAATGACGTTAGGTCACAGCTTATGTTCAGTAGTAAATATTTATATTTTTGCGACCTACGAATATCCGGCGCTCAGTAGGCAACTAATTTTTGGATTTCTAACGAGCGAGTAGCAAAGTTTATTTAAAGAAAAATTGCTGAGGAAAAGCGACTTTAGTAAAAACATGTTTTGGTTAGAAAATTCAATACACATATCCTTATTTTTTTAATATTAGAAATCTGAAAGTGAGTTTGTTTGTTTGTTATGCTTTCACGCTTTAACTACTCAACCGATCATCATGAAATTTTGTACACGGTATCATTTAGCCCAACTTCAAATATGGAATAGATTTAAT